TTTCACTGCACCGACCTTACAGACGTGCTTCAGCGGATTGTTGCATGGATTCCTGCCCATGCAAAACCCGAAACGGCAAATGAAAACGAAGCGAATTTCGCGTGGATGTGTTTTCGTCTTCCTTACTGCCCCCCCCCCAAAAAAAACGCACGACATTCGCCTCGAAATCCAGAACGACATTCTCCAGGACACCCACGGGCCCATCCTGTCGTTATCCGATGCTTAGCTTTATGTTGCTCCCATCGTACTTGGACCACATCCCCGAAATAATTTCGAGCACCAGGGAAAGTGTCGAAACAGTGCCGAAACCGTGTCGGGCGAGTGTCTCCCAGGGCCCGACGCGTGAAAGCCCCCGAGTTTCGGTACTTTTTTAGGTGTCCGGCATTCTTTCTGGTGATCAAGGCAAAAGTCGGCTGGAACATCATAAGCTTAGCTTGCCGAATGCACCGGACGGATCAGCCGAGGTCTCGCCCAGGTGCTCACAATGGTGGGCGCCCACGAAGGAAGAGGAGGAGGAGGAGGAGGAGGAGGAGGAGGAGGAGAGGAGGAGGAGGAGTAGGAGGAGGAGGGAGGAGGAGGAGGAGGAAGGAGGAGGAGGGAGGAGGAGGAGGAGGAGGAGGAGGAGGAGGAGAGGAACGGAGGAGGAACAAGTATGAGGAGGAGGAGGAGGAGGAGGAGGAGGAGGAGGAGGAAGGAGGAGGGGACGAGGAGGAGGAGGAGGAGGAGGAGGAGGAGGAGGAGGAAGAGGAGAAGGAGGAGGGGGGAGGGAGGGGGGAAGGAGGAGGAGGGAGGAGGGTTGGTAGGGAGGGAGGAGGAGGGAGGATGGAGGAGGGAGGGGAGGGAGGAGGTGAGAAGGAGAAGGAGGAGGGAGGAGCGAGGAGGAGGGTGGGCGCCTCGTGGGCGCCTCGTGGGCGGCCCCTGCGCTGCGCGGGTCTGCCGGGGCGTCGCCCGGGTGCCCGGCCGTGCTGCCGCGCGATCGGGGGCGCCTCGTGGGCGGCGCCCCGCGCGCGCCTCGGGGGGCGCCCCGCGGAGCTTCGCGCCGCACAGCTTCGCACCACGCTCGGGTCGGGCGACGACGACGACGACGACGACGAGGACAAAGACGAGGACGAGGATGAGGACGACGACGAGGACGATTTCTCCTGTAGAGGGACGTGTCTGACGTAAGTCTTGTGTCCTCTCGCGTGCCCCCTCCAAGCAACTCCAAGATCGGGTCGGGCGAAAGGGGGGGATAGCAGAGGGGGGGGGAGAATCAGCTCACGTAGCTCCTCCTCCTCCTCCTCCTTCTCCTCCTCCTCCTCCTCCTCCTCCGCCATGACACCTGGGTTTGTCGGGCCGGGCGAAAAGGGGGGATAGCAAAGGGGGGGGTTGAGAATCAGCTCACGTAGCTGCTTTCCCCGGCGCCTCCCGGCGCCGGAGGCGGCCATGCATCGAGGAATGGGCCCCTCGGTGGGGCCGAGTCCAGCTGCATGCAGCAAATTTCGCACCCCCCCCTTTCCCAATCCCCCCCTCTCGTCCGGCCCGACACACGGACTGCACCACGCAGCTCGTGCCGCACGGCTCAAACCACACAGCTTGCACCTCGGAGCTTGCGTTAGGTCGGGCGTGTCCCCCTGCAGGCGGATGCTTGGCGGAATATTGGAAATACCCCCCAAATACTCCCCCAAATGCAAAAAAGATCAAACAATCGTCCCCAGACTATTTTTTCCCAACCATCCTGTGGTGTTGGGTCCTCGTTTTGAAGAGACAGCGCCCCGCGTTCCCCCTCCTCTCCTCCTCCTCCCCCTCCTCGCCCTCCTCGCTCCTCCCCCTCCTTGCCTCTGCTCTCGGCACACCCCTCACACGTTTCGTAGCCCCGTAGGGAGCTCCACCGAAGGTCCCAGTGGCACAGCCCGAATGCGGTTCCTCCACCCAGGACAGCGTTTCGTAGCCCCATAGGGAGCTCCACCGAAGGTCCCAGTGGCACAGCCCGCATGCGGTTCCCCCACCCAGGGCAGCGTTTCGTAGCCCCATAGGGAGCTCCACCGAAGGTCCCCAGGGGGGTGCCCGCATCGGTTCCCCACCCAGGGCAGAGCGTTTCGTCAGCCCCAAGGGTGCTTCCACCGAAGGTCCCAGCTCGCACAGCCCGCATGCGGTTCCCCCACAGGGCAGCGCTTCGTTAGCCCCATAGGGAGCCCAACGAATGGTCCCAGGGAACAGCCCGCATGCGGTTCCCCACCGCGGAAGCGTTTCGTGGCCCCTAGGGAGCTCCACCGAAGGTCCCCCAGTGGCACAGCCCGCATGCGGTTCCCCCACCCAGGGACAGCGTTTTTCGGTGGCCCTATCGGAGCTCACCGAGGTCCAGTGGCACAGCCCGCAGCGGTTCCCACCAGGCGCAGGCGTTCGCTCGCGCACCACAGCATCACACGAAAATGCAGCTCCTACCGAAGGCCCCATCACAGCGCAGTTCCCCCATGCCGCCCCCCACACACACCTCCCCCCCACACCAGGGCAGCACTTTTTTTCGTGGGCCCCATCACAGCGCACGGACTCCCCGAAGCCCCAGTGGCGCAGTTATGTCATGCGTCCAGGGCAGCGTGCGTGGCCCCATAGGGAGCTCCACCGAGAGAGAGAGAGAGGGTCCCAGTGGCGAGACAGATTCGCATGCGTTCCTCCCCACACCCAGGTACACACACACAGCTTTTCGTAATTCAAGAGGGTGGGCCCTAGAGAGCCCACGTAAGGTCATATAGTGCGCAGTTCGAGGCGTCCCCACCCACCCTACGTACAGCGTTCGTGGCCCCCATACACGCGAGCACAGCCCGAGACACACACGAGAACATGCGGAGAGACACTAGTAGTGTAGTATGATATGGTTGGGTCTTTCGCCAGGCTAATTTACTATTTTTGAATGTTCCCCCCCATAGAGGGACAGGCCCGATCTAAAGCTTGCGCTACGCTGTTAGCACCGCGGGTCCTCCTTCGCACGGCTTGCACCATGTGTGCTGCATCGGGTAGCTTGCGTCACATAGCCTGCATCGCAAACATTGCCCAACAGATGTTGAACGACTGGGCTTGCACCACATAGCTTCCACCGCATACATGTAGTTGCTGAGCTTACACGTCCACAGTGCAGTAACTCACCGTTTGGCGTCCAGGCTGGCAAACACAGATCTTCGTAGCGAATCCCTCGGACATAACATCATACCCTTCGGGCCACATGCACATGCTCGCGTGCGCGAAAGACAAATTCACTAATGACCTTTGGTTTGTTTTATGACTAAGTCAAGAACGAAATCTTCGAACGACACGTGAAGCACATGAAGCCTTCCAAGCAAACAAAATAAATACCATGCCATGTTTTCCGCGCGCTAATGCTTATCAGCTCCATTACTTAAATGCGTGCAAGAGTTCATCAAGTTATGGTCTTCAGAAGGAAGGCGGCGAACAAGATGGTACCCCCAACAAGTGGACACAAAGTGTATGTTACGGCTTGATTGGGCGAGATGGAACTGCTCAAACGGGAGCCACGAGCCACGAGCCCCAGAAACCACGAGCCACGACTGGAGCCCAACACCAAAGGGCTTTTGATCCTGGGCACTGTTCTGGACGATCCCCCAGGCCCCGAGCTGTCTCCAGACCGGCCGCGCCGATTCTTTTTCGAGGCGCTGGACGTCTGGGTATTCTTTGGCAGACCATCGGTCCGAGAGGCAGCCCCCGCCCCAGAAATAGTCCCAGGACGAGGAGGAGGAGGAAGAAATTAGAGAGGAGGAGGAGGAGGAGGAGGAGGAGGAGGAGGATAGAGCGGACGAGGACGAGGAGGAGGAGGAGGAGGAGAAGAGGAGGAGGAGGAGTGAGGAGAAGAAGGAGGAGGAGAGGAGGAGGAGGAGGAGGATGGAGGAGGAGGATGAGGAGGAGGAGGAGGAGGAGGAGGAGGAGGGAGGATATAGAGAGGAGTGTATGTGAGGAGGAGGATAGAGAGGAGGAGGAGGGGAGGAGGAGGAGGAGGATACGAGAGGAGAGGAGGAGAAAAGGAGGAGGAGGATAGAGAGGAGGAGGAGGAGGAGGAAGGAGGAGGAGGATAGAGAGGAGGTAGGGGGAGAGGAGGAGGAGGAAGGAGGAGGAAAGGAGGAGGAGGAGGAGGGAGGAGGGGGAGGAGGAGGAGGAGGGAGGAGGAGGAGGAGGAGGAGGAGGAGGAGGAGGAGGAGGAGGAGGAGGGGAGGAGGAAGGAGGAGGAGGAGGAGGGAGGATAGAGAGGGAGGAGGAGGATTTTAGAGAGGTAGGAGAGCGATACAGAGGAGGAGGCAGGAGGATAGAGAGGAGGAGGAGGAGGAGGAGAGGAGGAGGAAGGAGGAGAGGAGGATGGAGGAGGAGGAGGAGGAGGAGGAGGAGGAGGAGGAGGAGGAGGAGGAGGAGGAGGAGGATAGAGAGGAGGAGGAGGATAGAGAGGAGGAGGAGGATAGAGAGGAGGAGGAGGAGGAGGAAAAGGAGGAGCAGGAGGAGGAGGAGGAGGAGGAGGAGGAGGAGGAGGAGGAGGAGGAGGAGGAGGAGGACAGAGAGGGCACAGGCGCTACTGGGCTGGAGTGGGCGGGCGCAGGCCCAGAACGTCCGACGTCGTGGGCTTCTCAACGCGTGCGTGCGCTGCTGTCTGCTGCGCGCTGCGCAGCCGCCGAGGCCCGAAGCTGGAGCTTGGTCGACACGCCCTACAGACCGAAGGGAGAGAGAGCTGCGTAATGTAGCGGAACAAAACGTGACATAAACACTCGGAGGTCCGCGCGGACTTCTCGGATCGGCGCTGGGGCCCCCCGGCGGCGCCTCCGGCGCCGACCCCGACGCGCTCCGCGCGCCAGGGAAGGGGGGTCCAGCGCCGATCCGAGAAATCCGCGCGGACCTCCAAGTTTTTATGTTCATGCCACTTTTGGTTCCCCCACGAAGAAAGAGCTGCGTGAGGGCAGCCTGAGAGCTCTTGGGCCTCGTCGGCCCGCGAGGGAGGTCGCCCACGGGGCAGGCTCCGGCCCGTCCTGGGCGCCCAGGCCGAAGCTGAAGCCGCCCGAGGCCGTGGGCGTCCCCAGGTCGGCGAGCTTCTCCTGCAGGGCGGCGAGGGCTCCGAGGAGGGAGGAACTGAACTTTTTGGTTGTTCTGCCGGTCGTGCGGGTTCACGTCTCCGGCGGCGGAGATTCACGCCGCCGCCCCACCGCTGCCGGAGCCCGCTCGGGACTGCCCCCTGCTCCCCACCATCAGATCTGAACTGGGACGGACGCCGTGCATCTACGACACGTCGGCCGCAGTGCTGGCGCGGCGGCCAAGATGGCGTCAGCCGTAGCCGCCGCGGCGAGAAGCAGGCTTGCAACGGATTCGGTCGCAGAGTTCACGTGGCAGAACGGGCCGCTCCACCACTGCTTTCCAGATGAACTTTCTGCACCGCGCTGGGCAGAGAAAGACACAGAGGAAGGGTGGGGGATCGATGGTTGTTTGGCGATGTGCAGTTAGATGTAACATCTCCCCATGTCTGTGTGTATGCATGCATGTATGTATGCATCTACGCATGTACGCATGCATGCATACATGCACGTATGTATGTATGTATGTATGTATGTATGTATGCATGTATGCATGCATGCATGCATGCATGCATGTATGTATGTATGTATGTATCTATGTATGTATGTATGGATGGATGGATGGATGGATGGATGGATCGATGGATGGATGGATGGATGCATTTATGTATGTATGCGTGTGCATATATATATATATATATAAAGAGAGAGATATGTGACCCAGGGTTGGCACCGCCCCAATGCAGATGGGATCGAGCCCCACCCCGCTGGATTGGTACGCCCGTAAGCCTCGCGAAGGTCCTGCGAATGGAATCCCTTCCCCCCTGGTGGTCGCGGCCATGTGGGCGTGGCGTGGTGGGAGGTGCCGGTGCACCCCGCCTCCCTCCCCCTGTGGGTGTGGGGTGGTTCGTCGTCGTCGTCGTCGTCGTCGTCGTCGTCGTCATCGTCGTCGTCGTTCGTCGGCAGCGTCGTCGTTCGTCGGCGTCGTTGGCGTTGGCGTCGGCGTTGGGGTCGGCGTCGGCGTCGTCCCCCCCCCCTCCCCATCCCGTTTCGGGGGTGGTGGTGGCTGTGGAACCCTGGGACACATTCCATGTGGGGGGGGTCTGTGAACCCTCGACCAGGCATGATATGTGTTTGTGCGTGTGTGGAAAGGGGTCTCTTGAAGCTTCTAGAAACCTGCGAAGATTAGGGACCTGCGGGAATCTCCAGTGGCCTCTGGATAACCCCTGCCCCTGGCACTCGGAATGTGTAGCGCTGGAAGTGGGGCTCTTACGAGTGTCACGCCCCCGCCTCTTCACTCCCGCGTCACCCCTCCCAGACTGGGGGCTCACCCATCGCCAGTACCACCCAGTGTCTCATGCTCAGACCTGCTCACATTATGAGTCGCCCACTCCCTCGCAGACAGATTCGCCGACGGACTGACTCATACTCCTTCATGCAGCCATGCTCAGACCCACTCCTACCCAAGCTCGCTTATGCAAAAACGCACCCCTCAGCAGACCCACTCATGTTGCGACCCGCCCACACTCAGACTCGGACTCTGACTCGCTGGTACTCCGTCGCCCTCGTGCCCTCATCACTCGTCTCACCGCGATGCGTCAGGCATCGCGCTCGGGCCTCCAGAAGAGACACCATTATGTGATAGAAGGCCCGCCTGGGAGAGGTGGGCGCGTCCCCCTGCAGAGCCCCATGACCACCGCGATGCGGCAGGCATCGCGCTGGGGCCTTCCAGAGCTGGCTTCTGAGAGTACCCCGAACGCTCTCTGAGTGCCCACGGTCTCTCCGTCACCTTGCATATCAGCTCGTTGGCATAGACTGCGTCCTTGCCCGCTCTGTCGACATCGGCTGCCATTTCTCTAGCCCTGTGCGTCTCTCCTCCGTGCCGTGACGGCTGATTGTGCTCAGAAAGCATGCGTTCATCTTGCTGGCACTCTGCAAGCTGTTGTACATAGCATGGTCCTTACCTACATTTGCGAACTCGCGGAATTGAGCGACAGATTTATCGAAGCTGCAGCTGCCGTTGGCGAACGCGGTTCGGCGCGAGCCGAACAATATTGGCATACCCAAGCCAAGCCTTGCTCGCGAGGAAGGGGGCCCATGCTGACATGGGGACAGCCGTGCTGACCTCTCTCCGATACCCTACACACTTCCCAGAAAGATGCTCTGCAGGCTGGGCAATCCTGAGAAGCCAACCAACTGCTCTCGCACGAGCTTCGCTCCAAACAGCGAGCGGGGACCACACTTCCTTCAGTGACTCGACGGGCTCCTTCTACCACGTTCTCTTTCCGCCCTCCTCCTGCTCGATGCCCGATGCTGCGGGCAGGCTATCCTTGAGACGGATGCCCTCGTCCCCTCGCCGCTTGCAAGGGGGAATAGGTCATCCACTTCGTCGCCAGCTTGAGGCGGGGGGTGCGCGGAGGCGCGGGAGAACGCGGAGCGGGTGTAAGCCACGAGAGAAGACAGACGCCAAGAGGCCCAGGCGTGGAGCGGGTACGTCACAAGGGGGAGAGGAGAAGAAAGAGAGAGAAGAGGGTGGAGAATCAAGCGGCCCAGGGACACACAAAGAAGCAAGCACACATGGCAGGATTCCGAATATGTTGCCCATCTGTGCTGGACGTTCGCCTCCCCCCTCCACTTCCCCTAGTGTTCTCGCCTCCCCCCTGGGAATCGACGATTCTTTGTGTCTGTGTGCTGTGGAGGCCTCCTAAATGGGGTCCGAGTCGATGGGGTCGAAGGATCGCGCCGCATCGTCAATGCATCGGCGACGCATCGGCGACCCATCCGCGACGTTGGCGTGGGGAACATCGGGCTCCACATCGAGCCGCATCGTCGATGCATCGAGCCGCATCGTGACCCATCCGCGACGTCGGCGTAGGGAACATCGGGCTCCACGTCGAGCCGCATCGTCGATGCACCGGCGATGCGGCGCGATCCGCCGACCCCGTCTGCTCGGACCCCACTTTAGGAGGCCCAGGGTCGGCGGTGGACAGACCTCCCTTTCGTAAACCTCCCCTTAGTGAACCTCCCCTTAGCAGACCTCCCCTTAGTAGACCTCCCCTTAGCAGACCTCCCCTTAGCAGACCTCCCTTTAGTAAACCTCACCTGAGTAAACCTCCCCTTAGCAGACCTCCCCTGAGTGAAAAACGGCCAATTCCTGAATCGACGTGTCGGGGTTAGGAGGTCTACCCAACTCCGATGGGAGTGCCTTCCCCTCCTGAGCGAAGCGGGGGCGGCGGAGGACGGGGGAGGAAGGGCGAAGGGAGACGCAGCCGCCCGAGCCCCGAAGGCCTCCCGCTGCGGCTCCCCATGCTCTTCCCTCCCTCCCGCTTCCCGGGCCTCCGCCCGTCGCGGCTCTCTCCAGCAGGGAGGAGGAGGAGGAGGAGGAGAAAGAGGAATAATAATAATGAGAAGAATGATAAGAAGAAGAAGAAGAATAATAATAATACTAAGAAGAAGAAGAAGAAGAAGAAGAAGAAGAAGAAGAAGAAGAAGAAAAGGAGGACAAGGAAGAGGAGGGGGAGGATGATGAGGACGAGGAGGAGGTGGAGGAGGAGGAGGAGGAGGAGGAGGGCGGTGATCAGGGGAAGGAGGAGGAGGAAAAGGAGGAGGAGGAGGAGGAGGAGGAGGAGGAGGAGGAGAAGGACGAGGAGGAGGAGGAGGAGGAGGAGGAATAATGGCCCGACAACGACCCGCGGGAGACCCGCGGGAACCAGAAAAGAACCCACCGCGTGATCGTTACCAGCAGGGATGGCCCATTGGTCTTGCTGCCCGTCAGGGCGGGC